GGGGTTTGGTGGATTTCTCATCAAGAATACTAAGACGATGTTGACTTCCAAAGAGAAAAGCTCAAATAAGTAAGTTTTTTCCAAAAGCAATTTATAAACATTATGTATGGACATACTAAGGAAGTCATGCTATGAGATCTGCAGGATAATACATTCCTGTCTTAAGTATAGAATATATCTGAACAGTTCTTCATTGGCCTCATTCATATAAATCTGAAAATCCCTATCTTCCACAAAAAAAAATTAAAAGATTCATTCTCATTTTCTTCTTTAGTTCAGTTTGATCGTAATTTCTGACATCTCTCTCTACTTTTGATTTTAAAAACCATCTCAGGTTACTATTTCAGAATTTTACAAAAGGAGATCTCATTAATGCTATTAAATGTTCAGTTTATACATAAAGTACATTTCTTAGAAACACCATTATTCACATAACTGGCCACCAAAAAGTTTCCTGAATATCCATAAATAGTTAATGCTTTCCTGTACACAGCTTCCTTCCAAATGATCAACACCATCTTCCATAACACTGCAAAAAAGAAAGCTAGTTCCTATTTAACATGAACAGCAGTCCTAAATAAACATTTCGTATAAGATTAATTTTAAAGCTGAATGACTTTGACCGAGATCTGGACATCCAAGACCATGTAGGAAAAATCTCATGATCATATTACTAGTCAAGTCAAATTAAAGTATTTCTGGCCCATTATCCAAAAGCTCTCCTTCCACAAAAATAGCTTTCACTACATTAATGGTAATTAGTAAAATACAGAAATCAAATTGATGTCAGATTTAAGTTTCATTAACACAAATAATCCTCACAACATCACAAAAATCCCATACTAGAAGTGCAGCAATATTTGCACTCATACGATGAGCCACAGCCACCACAATTAACTATCGAAAGAGCAGATGATCTTGAGTGGCACCACAGGACAACCAGGGAATCAGTCCCAGCCAGCATGGGCTTAGAAAAGGCAGGTCCTGCACTAGAACAACTGCCTAGGGAAGCTGTTGAATCACAATCCCTGGAGGTATTTAAAAGACATGTAGATGTGGTGCTTAGGGACATAGTTTACTGGTGGATTTGGCAGTGCTGGGCTGCACTCCATGACCTTAAAAGTCATTTCCAATCTAAATTATTCTATTTTTAAATTGTTTAAAATGTTATTCCTGTACACTTTAATTCCTTAGTTTATAATGATAATAGAATCAGTACCAACCATATTACATTCCAGATACCTTAAGAGGTACTTGCTTTGGCAAAACCATGTCTTTTTAGATGTACTGTCTTGTGTCTGGTTTCAGGTGCTTTAAATTGCACCAGCTTCATTTTTGCCTCAAGATTCAGTCTGACATTTAATATCCTGTCCCAGTGTTTTGTATTAAGTTAAATATTGAATCTGCTGCCCATTTATTCTCAACAGTTGTGTTTTTTTCCCTGTAGGATAGCTTAGTTGCCTTAGAAAAGAATTCATTTGCGAGATCAAATGTGATTGTTTGAAGGACACCAATGCCTTCTCAGCAAGTCTTTTTGCCATTATTCAGTTTCAAAGACTGAACTAATCTTTCAATTCAATGTGTCGTGTTTCCTGTTCACTTTACAAATTAGGTTTTATTTTTCAAAATTGGAAAGACTTGCAACGTATCATCAGTGAATAAATTGGTGGAGAGTTTAATCCTTTCATTCATTAATTTCTTCCAAAGGCTTTTGCAAACATATCTTTAGTTCTGTTATTCAAGACAAGTGAGCCTGAATAGTTTTGCTGTTTCGGCATAGCGTACCTAACATTTCTGGTATATTTTAAAAATAAATCATGCACATTTTTTTATATATGTGCTGGTTTTGCCTGGGATACAGTTAATTTTATTCACCATATGACATCATGCTCAGTATAGAAAGTAGAAGGAAGCAGAAGGAAGCAGGGGACACATTTGGAGTGATGACATTTGTCTTCCCAAGGAACCGTTGCATGTGATGATCCCTGCTCTCCTGGAGGTGCTGAACACCTCCTGCCCGTGGGAAATGGTTAATTAATTCCTTGTTTTGCTCTGCTTCTGTGTGCAGCTTTTGCTTTCCCTATTAAACTGTCTTTATCTCAATCCATGAGTTTTCTAGCTTTTAGCCCTCCGATTCTCTCCCCCATCCCACCAGTGGGGGAGTGTGAGCAGCTGTGTGGGGCTTGGCAGCTGCCTGGGGTTAAAGCATGGCAATATACTATTACCAGCAGACACATATAACATCAACAGGCCCTGAGTATTATATTGATTTTCATATGCTTTCCCTTTGAAAAACTGTATTCATCAAACACATGCTAACATTATTAACCTTGCGGCTATGTGATAAATATCTCAACTGATCAATTTCTTAAATAGTATTTTTAAAATTCCAATTTCCATGCTGATTTTATGAACAAGATAATCATCTTCTGACTCAAAAACCATACTCTGGATCCTGAAAAAAATAATCTGAGTTTGGGCTTTTAAAATCAGACTTCTGAATAACTCCAAAACTAACAGATCCAGTCTTAATTTAGTTCTGAACTATACTTTGGTTTCTTCAGTTTTCTGGTCTTTTTTTAGTATTGCAACTGAACTTTAATCAAAATATCACTTTTTATTTTTAAGAACATATTTCCCCAGGAGCTCCCAGGCCACTGTGGAGACTCGTGGAGTCTTAGAATGGTTTGGGTTGGATGGGACCTTAAAGATCATTTAGTTCCACGTCCCCTGACATGGGCAGGGACACCCACTACACCAGGTTGCTCTGAGCTCCATCCAACCTAGCTTTAAACACTTCCAGGGATTATCACATTACTCCCTCTTACCAGGGACATACACTAACAGTAGGTCTCTATTAAGTTACCATCAGAAAAAATCATGGTGGAGTTTATGACAACAAAAACTGAAACTGCTTTTTCTTTCCTATTTGGCAAAGATAAAGCAAAATGCTGCCTTACAGTATAGAAAAGCTATGATTACTAAATGACTCATCATTGTGTTTCCCAAATGCATTAAATGAGAACTACTTAATAGATGATAAAAGCTGTTAACTTTCAAAATATTGCCATTTAGAGGTAGTAAAAACAAGCAAAAACCCCCACAGACTTTCATAAGTCTCCTAAAAAAAACCCACAATTCTTAAAGTACAAAGTAACCTCAAGACAGTTTTTTTTGCAGAGGTATGGCAAAACAAAGTTAAGAATTGAACTGAAATAGATCCTGACCTGGACTGGTTAAAGCGAAAGGACAAGGGAACTCTTCACTTAGGAATTTCTCTAAACCAGGAATCTCAGGAATACTAAACTAAAATCAACTTAAGGAATTAGCTGAAGCTCATGGAAAACCCATGCTCTTACTAGAAACCAAGAAGAACTAGTTCACTTTATGCCTAATTTAACTTTTGCATAACCTCAGTCAGAACTTAAACTATCCTTATGCTTCAGCTTACTGTATTTCAAAGTCAAGTTTGAGTTAGCCATAATTTTTTTTGAGTATTTTAAAACAGACATCCTAAGCTTCAAGAGAAAATAAATTACCTTTTCATTAGCGAAATCTGAGATAACTTTGGAGACAGAACTAAAATAAATTGTAAGCTCCATGTTTAACTTCAATTACAGCAGGATATTTGAATATCCACCATTAAGCTGCATCTCCATTCAGCATTAGAAGGAACTAAGCTGCAAATTTAGTAGAACTCATCAGCAAGAGAGACTCTTTCAGTCACTGGAAATCAGTGTCAATCTGAAGTAAATACTTTGCATTCCCTACTGAATTATTCTATAAAAAGCAAAGCTATTTAAGTCTCCTCTCTGAAAAATTCAATAGTGTTAAACTGGTGTGTGTATAATTCAGAATTTTAAACACTTCTTAAATGCATGAAGATTTGCTGAGAAAGTGTCTTTCATAGTCTCTGGAGAGCAGACAGCATGAGAGTTTTGCTTCTTTTTAATACAAACATCTTCACAAGCCTTTTCCCAACCAGAGGCAGACAAACAACAGCAAAAATGCACAACTGTTTGCCACCACAAGTACTATAGCTGAAAAGACTGACATGAAAAATACTCCCATGAGGAATCTGCTGTATTTTTTGCAGAATAATCTTTTTAAATACAGTGCAAATACCAAGCTTAAGAAAATCCTGTTCTGTAACACAAATCCCAGTGAATCCCAGATTCCCACAACCTTCTCTCCAATGCCCAACTGAAACACCTCCGTGTTCTGCTCCACAGTATTTCACTCAACCCACTCTCAAACGACTGCCACTGCAAAATCCTCTGGCCACTGGGCAAAGTTCAGAGAGCTCAGCCAGCCAAAAACTCACACTACAAAAAAGTGATTAGCTTTTTAATTAGGTTGCCTCCCTGAACTGACTCACAGATCTGACATCAGGAGAGCTGATGCCACAACTTAATTGACCACAGCTGTTCAGATTTGTTCATCTTAAACCACTGCAGAAAAATTGGCCAAAAAAACTTTAAGATTCTATCACGGCTTTCCCTCAGCACGATGTTAATCCTTTCTTCTAGTTACTTTAATGTGAAGTCAGAGTGAAGCCTTTCGTAGGACACCGATAGGCTTTGGTTCCTCTACTGTGTGCCTATTTCCAAGAGAACTCTAAAAAGGTCTTTGAACTCTCCACTGTTCCATCAAAACTGGTTGAAAGAGGCCACGGTTATCGCATAAGCCTTTCTTTCACAGAAAGCCAGGCTGAAAAATAAAGACATACAACTGACATGATATACTACTACTTCTCATTCCCCTCCGTTCAATTTGGTAATTAATCTTGAAACTGAGCAAAAGAACATAACTTCCACTACAATTCTGCAACACGACGCAATGTTTGCAGCTATCGCTGATGGATTACAGCAATAAATGAGATGAAATAGCTATTATTACTAAATGCAAAGGAAGATTTAAAATAGAGAAAACCAACTTACTGAAAGAAGTTTCCATGCAATTGGACGAACCCATTTGGGAATGCCAGACCAACTCAATTTTCGCAGCTCATCTATTAAAAGAGAAGCATTGCATGAGAACTAAGGACACTACTATTGATTAATATGCACAGACATATTCAAATTAGCATGAAGCTCTTTACAACAATGATCACGTCTTCTTATAAAGTCCAATGAAATCAGAAATAAGTAATGGGCAACTAAAACAATTTTAGTTTTTTGCCAGACTCCAGCTGTAACAATCAAGCACAAGGCACCCAACAGGGAGCCCTGGACAGCACCTGGTCACATAAGTTAACCTTTCTTCCCCGTGATTTCATCTTCTTTTTCCACCACACTTTTACTTCCTTTGCTCTGCTCTAATTTCACAAACCACTCTAATTACTTCTTCCCTTCAGGGTCCCAGCTTTGCTACAGCTATACCCAATTTTGGTATTTCTGAAATACTTACCTAGATCCCACTGGTCTTGCAACACTGCACTTCCCAAAGTGGCCCCAGTGCTCCTCCCCATGCAATGGCACTGTTTGGGCATTACTCACACAATTACCCTTTTAGTGCTTGTGAAATCCAGACATCCCATAGGGTGCTATCTGTCAGCTTCTCACACTGTGGTTTGTTATGTACAGCAATTTCTCACATCACCTCCGGTAGTTCTCCACACCCCAGGGAGTTAGCTCAGCCTCCAAGCAGGGCCGTCAGCAGCTTTGGTATTTGCTCACAGCCCTACCACATCAGCAACAAGCTTCAATTCCACCCATGGTTTGATGTCAAGTATATCCCCAAGACACCAAGCACTGAATCTCAAGTAACAGTATCACTGCTTACATTCTTTTAAAAGCCAAAAAGGCAAGAATCGGTCAGAAGAAGTAAACATATAACATGACCAAGAGGAAAAAAATGGCATTTTGTATAGTGAACAAAAACAGCAATGAAAAGAGAGAATGTTTGCCTTAACTAAACATATCTACAAATTACATATATTTCTACTCCACCCCAGAACATGATCATAGAATCATAGAACTTAAGGGTTGGAATGGACCTTACAGATCATCTAGTCCCAACACACCCCCCCTGCTAATAATCATTAGCTCCAGATGGTTTAAGACCAATGAAGGTCCCAAGTCTTCAAAAGCAAGTGATCTCCAACTGTGCACCATCCTGCTCCCCTACTCCTTGTGCAGTATTTATGTACAAGCATGCTTTACTGGATCTAAGCTATTTGTGTCACTGGGTTTCCTTTCTGGCTGAAAGGAAACTCATCTTGTGCATTAGTTTATTATTTCTTTACACAATCATTTTGCTAAAGTTTCAAGTTCTGGCTACAGTTACACACAACCATGTAATTAGTATATGCAGAAAATAGAAACTAAGTTGCAACACAGAAACGACTTCTGTTATTTCCAAGTAACATCAATTGTTCATTCTCAACTCTATACCCCAACAAATTCACTCTAAATCTTCCACCTTTCTGGTTTTTTATCTCCTCCCTTAACTCTACCCAATAGGAAACTATGTCCAAACATAGATTGGGGTACCAACCTCTAGAAACAGTCCATGAAAAGAGAAGGGGTGGAAAAAGGCACAAGTAAACAAGAAAACAAAGAAAATATTCAAATCTACTGTCACAATCGGAAATGTAGAGGATGTGACATTACAGACACGATGGATCCTGTACAAAAATTACACTTACTCTTAAGCAACTCATTTAAGGCCAAAGATAGGAGCTATGCAAAGAACTCTTAACACAGGCTTATTCTAAACATTCTATCCTGTGGTGCTGCTGAGATTTGCTTGTATGTTCAGGACACAACAAAATAGTTTTGACAATGCAAATTTAAGTCATGACACTACTGCAAGTGAAACTTCTGCTTCTGCATTCGGGCTAAGTATAAACAACTACCTGCAGGACTCACTGACCTGAAGTGTCATTCTTTAAAAATTCAAGAGAATGGAGGAATAATACTGCATTTCTGCAAGTTTCAAGAGAAATGAGTTTTCCCTCCTGATGCTATTCTGCAACAAGCATGTATTTCCTTTAATTAGGGATAGCTTGGGCTGTCACTAATCCCAAACAATAACACACATATCCTGTGGGACTTGTTTTCAAAGGACTGGTCTTCCTGGAAGCAAATCTCAGCACTGGACATGGAAGAAAAAATGAGGACAAAACTTTCTTTTGCAACATAACACCTATTTGAAACAGATCCTCTGACTAATTGTCCACAATGTAGGATTTGGGAGTGAGTATTTACCTACATTCTTCCATGCTGAACACAAATGGACTCACCCATACAAATTATTTGCATTCATCTGCCATTGCCTTATCCTCTTGAGGTGCTCTTTTTATACCTAAATTGTCTGCGGAGCCTACAGAATCTTTGGCAATGTTCCTTCTCCCAGTATATTTGAGAAAAAGCATTTAAAGCTAGTTTTCAGGCCATTTCAAACTTGTTTCTCAACCTCTTTCTTAGAAATGCTCCCATGCATCTGGCCTGACTGGATTTATATTCTGCTCTTCTCTCCTTATTTGACACAGAACTTTACCTTCTGAATTGTATTTAATAACCTTCTATTGTATTTAATAACCTCCTCTCTCTGTTGTCATGTCATCCAGGATCCTTCTGAACTTTCTCAAGGCTTTTGTTTCTGGCTTTGCTTTCATAAGTAGTAGAGTAATCGCTTTCAGTGCAGAGACTGTTAGCCAGACAGATGATTGCACGTCTGACAGTTATGTCAATTCCATCACAAACCATTAGCCCTGGGTATGTGATAATTCTATTTCTTCACGGTAACTGCTGTCCTATATCACAGTCCTCCAGAATTTCAGGATCTCAGACTACTCCAAAAAATCACATAAAATTCTGGTCCTAACTTTTCACTACAATGAGCGCAACTAATATTTTGCCAGTGACAAACTGGACATCATAAAACCGAAAGAGTCTATGCAAGAATTCTTATCAGGTGTAGCAGCAAACCCCAAAAACAAACAGTCTGAACCTTGCACGTTGCTACTGTTAAAGCATCAGTTCATGTTATGCTTTCCTCTGACTGTTCAACACCAAAACACAAGGAAAGAAAACAAAGAACCCTGCCCTCCCGAACAATTACGAAAGCAGGAAAAAACTCGCTCCTATATGACTGAGTCTAACACTACAATACCATAAAATAAAAGTATGTCTGATGACAGGAGAGATAAGAAAATTGAATCATACACATTGTACCATTTTAGATATACATAGATATGCTGTCAGTGAAGCTGAATTCTAATAATACTGTTAAAATACATTAGTTACACATACATTTTATTTGACATACATACCTAACTTTAACAGCAAGTCTATCTATTACTGCTTTTAAGATGGGTTTTATTCTTACAGGCGACCCATCAGGTGACTTCATAAAAATCAAAAGATAACACATAATTGAAATACTTGTGTTCCAATTCTCAGGTTACCTTGAGACACTAAGAGTCTTAAATAAAAAAAAGAGCTGGGATGAAATCATTCTGACATTTTTATCTTAGAATTAAAATACTATGCTCATGGAATAGTTTGGGTTGGAAGGCACCTTTAAAGGACATCTAGTTCAACACCCCTGCAATTAGCAGGGACATCCACAACTAAATCAGGCTGCTCAGAGCCCCTGGCATTAAATGTTTCCAGAGATGGTGGATTCACAATTTCTCTGGGCAACCTGTTGCAGCGTTTCACCACCCCCACAGTAAAAAATTTCTTCCTTATATCTAGTCTGAATTTACTCTCTTTCAGTTTAAAACCATTAGACCCTTGTCATATCAAAACAGGCTGACAAAAGTTTGGTCCCCACACAACAATGTATCCCTGATGCCTTCTCATCTCCATGCTGACAACCCCAACTCCCTCAGCCTGTCTCCAGCCTTCTAATCATTTGTGTGACCTCCACTGGACTCCAACAGGTCCATGTCTTTCTTTACTGAGGACTCCAGAGCTGGATACAGTACTCCAGATGGTGGTCTCACCAAAGTTGAGTAGAGGGGAAGAAACACCTCCCTTGACCTTCTGATCATGCTTCTTTTGACACAGCCCATGATGTGATTTGCTTTCTGGGCTGCAAGTGCACATTGCCAGCTCATGCTCAGCTTTTCATCCACCAGTACCTCTCCAAGCCCTTCTCCCAGGCTTACTGCTCTAATCCCTTCGTCCCCTAGCCTGCATTGATACTATATGATTCCATGATTCTCTTACTATGTGAGAGACTTTGCTTCCCCCGTCCCTGCCTTGTGATCTATCCACTCAAGAAGCGTATGAAGAGAGGTTGCCAGTGAAGACTGGGGCAAAAATTCTGTTGAGTACCTTAGCCTTCTCCTCGTCTGGCAAGAACAGTTTACCACTCTTATTCCTGAGATCGTGTAGGCTTTATTTCACCATCCTTGTCTGGCTGACATACCTAGGAAGCCCTTCTTTGCATTCCTTGCCAAATGCAGCTCCAGCCATGCCCTGGCCCTCCTGATGCCACCTTTTACTCCAACATTTCCTACTGAATATTTAAGTTTCCCACCAGGAAGTGCTAAGTACATTCATATTCTACAGTAGCTTGCAACAGAAAATCCACTTAAGGCTGAATTTTCGCCACACAAGAAAAACTTTTTAAAGAAAAGTTTCACATTGAGCCAATAATACATAACACATAGTATGCCCGAGGGAACAAACCGCTAGAAATTAATTTGTTTAGAACACAAGAGCTACAAAAACACATTAAATGCCTGACAGAGGTCAGAAGCTTAACTTACGAGCAAATTAATCCACAAAGATGCTACACAAAGAAAACATTATTTGATTACATCTCTAAAATCAGCATCTGTCCGAGAAACAGAAGCAAATGAGACACTTGATAAAAGACTGTTAGAAAACAGGTATGATATGTTGCTCATAAAAACAGCCTTGACATGATAAAAATCAGGACAAGATGTCAGCTCACTCACCCAATATCCAATACTGAATACTGCCTGACAACCAAGAAACATGTGCTTATCTGTGCATGTCTGTGTTGGGCTTGAAGCTGCCACCAGCAGCA